AGCAGAATATGTGGAACACATGTATGCCGAGACCTACAAAACATCAATGAGAAAAGTCAAAGACCTAAATAAATAGAAAATGTATCATATCCATGAATTGGAAGACTCATTCTTGTGAAGATGTCAATTCTCTCCTTGTTGATCTACAGATCAAACACAGCCCAAATCAGAGCCCCAGCAGCATTTTTTTTTCTTTTGTAAAAATTGACAAGCTCATTCTAACATTTATATGAAAAAGCAAAGGAATTAGAATAACCAAACAACTTTGAAAAAGAACAAAGTTGAGAGACTCATATTCTCTGAGGTCCAGATTTACTATAAAGCTACCATAATCAAGATAGTGTGGTACTAGTGAAAAGAGAAACATGAGTTAATGAAACAGAGTGAAAGTCCAGAAGTAAACCAACACCCAGATGGTAACTGATTTTCATTAAAGGTGAAGTGCTTTAGACACTCAATACACTTTAGACAACTCAGAGGAGATAGGGCAGTCTTTTCAACAAGTGATGCTAGAACAGCTGAACATCCACATGCAAGACAAAGTGAACCTAAATCCTAACCTTGCACTATATACAGAAATTCACCCAAAATGGACCACAGTCCTAAATATAAAATCTATAAAATTATTAGAAGGATGAGATCTTTGCAACACTTAGTTAAATAAGACACATGAAGCAGAAATCAAAAGGAAAAAATAAATTAGACTTCATCAAAATCACAAACTTCTCCTCTCCAAAAGACAGCGTCAACTATCAAGGATGTGAAGCAACTACAAATCTTGTACACTGCTGGCAGAAACGCAAAACTCCACCATACACTGCTGGTAGAAATACACCCACTTTGGAAATGAGTTTGGCAGTTTCTTATAAGCACGCATGCAACATATGACCTAGAAATCCCACTCCTAGGTATTTACTCAGAAGAAAAGAAACTCTAAGTCCACACCAAAAAAGAAAAAAAATCTACCCATAAATATTTCTAGGGGCTTTATTCACAAATACCAAAAACTGGAAACAACTCAAATGTGCAACTGGTGAATGGATAAACGAATTGTGCTACAAAGACATATATTAACAAATGCAACAACGTGAATAAATCCCAAAGGTACTATGCTAAAGTTACATATTGCATGATTCCATTTGTTTGACATTCCGGAAAAGGCAAGCCTACACCCAAATAAAACAGATGAATAACTGCCAGGGACCGGAAGTGGAGAGAGGGGATTGACTACAAAGGAGCATGAGAGACCTCTTTGGGGTGATGGAAATGTTCTGTATCTCAGCTGTGGTAGTAGTAACATAACTGCAAGTGTTTGTCAAAATTCATACTGTACACCTAAAAAATGGTGAATTTTATTGTACATAAATTCTACCTCAAAAAAATCTGATTTTTGTAAAATTAAATTATGCTAAGCTTAGTCCTAGGCCTAAACCACATTGGAATTGATTTTCATTTTAATAGCAACAAGTACTGAAAAACTTAAACCACAAGATCTTTTGTTGCAAAATGAATCAGAGCTCCCATGGTACTTTGTCAGATGAGGATAAGCTTATTAAGGAATATTAAAGATTCAGGACTGTTCTAATTGAATTCATGTAGCATCACCTTATAAATCAGTGAGGTCCTCTTTAACTCTAGGAGAGTAAATCCAAATTTAATATCAATAACTACAAAAGAGTTTTGTCATTCTCAACTTCTTTCTTCAGAAGCACTTCCACCAAGCATTGGAAAATCCATATGATTATCCGACTCCAATCTCCTCTTCCAAGGTGGTAATTCGACCAAAACAGCCAGCAGTTTTACAGCAACATCCATGATTGATTCTGCAGGACCAGGAATAGAAAGACTTGTCTTTCAGACAGCCAAACATCCACTACATAGTTCATCAATGAACTCCTCCAAGTCAAATTCTTACGAGGGGGTTTTCACTCTCTCAAAAATAGTAAACGTCTCCCCAAGGATTAATCAAAGACTTCAAACGTTGTCCAGTGAAAAGACAGGAAAATTCTGCATGAAGACGAATTTAACATTTGCCCACATTTTTTGACAAACGTCTTGAACAAAGACAATGATTCAATACCTTCACTCTAATGTACTTGAGTTTCTTGGCAGACAATAAGGCTTTTTAGAATTATGGGCTGTGTCTTAACATTAACGCATGCATGTGCTGAAATAGACAGCAATGCTCTCTTTACTGAAGCAGCAAAACCATGTGTTGCCAAGGATTTCAGGAGCTTCACCAGTGTAGAGAGTACCAAATTTTGCAAAGACAAAAACCTTTTCACTGTTACAAAGATGTCAGTTTCCAAAAAAAGGGTTTACAGCATAGGAATTTTTTGATGGTACCAATGTGCAAATAATGATTAAAATCAGAGGCTGGCTGCCCTGAGAAGCAGTAGTGTTTTCATACCATTGAATGTTAAAAGAAAGTCACTGCTGATACTTCTATGAGTTCCGAGTGCATGTGAAGAAATGTCAACAGTTCTAGCGAGGATGACGTCATCTGACATAGGCACTGATTCAATTTTCCTTCTCTGCTCTAATACAAAACAGCTCAATAATTGCCAAGATTCTCAGCTTCACTAAGGTCTCTTCAATTGTATATGGCTTCTGTAGCTGGGTGGTACAATAAGCAAATGCATAGGATGCTTCAGGATAAGGCTTTATTTGCCAAATCTAGTTTCCAACCTTCTCAATTTGAGCTTTCCTCTAATGAAAGAACCATATTTTTCCAATGTGGTAAGGACTGACAGAACTTCACACTCACATGTGGAGATAAATATAAAACAAAAGAAATCTAAGTTTTAATATAATTTCTTTTCATATTTTCAAACTAAACTATGTGAAATTCAGTTGCCCATAATCATAATGGCAGGGCATATCTCTTTAATTCTGAACTGAAATTTGATCCAGATATCTACCATAACATAGTGGCAACGATGGTTGCATATTACCTTACCATGTACAGTAGCATCCCATGCCACTCTTATTTGGCATGAAATATACCTTAACATATTTTTACAAATACAAAAAAGTATTTTGTTAAATAAGCTTTTTTCCTATAAAGACAGAAAAATATCACATATCTGGTTCAAAAATCTCTGATTTAGAGATATTAATTTAGGAGTGGCATATAGTGACAAAAAATATTTGCTCAATTAACTGAATTCTGAATTCAAATAACTATTGATATGATATGTTATCTTTTAGAGGAATATCAGAATGGATTTGGAAGAAAAAAACTCTTATCTTCCCCTCACTCCATCCATTTTTCACTCATACATTGATTTTGAGCTAGATCAGTGGTTCCTAATCTTAACTATGTATTACAATCACCTCATAAAGCTCTTACACTAATGAGTGGACTCCACCCCAGAACAATTTGATCTAAATCTCTTGAGGTAGACCAAACATTATTTTGTTTAATGCCCCAATGATTCTAATATTTAGCCAGGGTTGAGAACTACTGAGTCAAATAAACTAATCACAGATCCTGTTCTTTAAAAGTTTATATTCTAGTATACGTGAATGTGTATATATTCTTAGGTGCTCTGGGTATACAAAGATTAAAAAAATGTACCTTTCAATGCAAACAGGACATTTTAATGTATCTTTTAACTACATTACGACAGACACATGCCTAAGGCGCTGTGATAACACAGAACAAACTAATAATGAAGGGGGAAGAGGTAGGAAGAGAGGTATTGAAGTAAGATTTCTGGAAGAAGTAATGAATGGATAAATAGGAATTAATCAGAGGAAAGGATGGTGGGGAGAAAATCCAGGCACCAAGCAGAGGGGATAACACAAGCAAAGAGAGAAATAGGAAACAATAAGCTTAACACAGAGAATTGCTCACAGTTTGGTGTTCCCAGTAAAGTAGTCAGCATGAAATGAAGGAAGAATAAATAAGAAACAATGGCAAAGAAAGGACAGGGAGGTCCTTGCACACCACATTAAGGAGTTTGAACTTCATCCTTAGGTGATGGGCTGTCAGTGCTGTGTTAAGCAGGAGGCATTTTGGGTAAGTCTCTAGTAGCCCTGAAGAACAGAGACAATAGCCAACACGCACTGAGCATTTACCCTCTGCTAGGCAGTGTTCTGCTGAGCACTTCACACCGATTATCTCGTGTAATCCTCCCATCACCACAACTCTGTGGTAGATACCATTATCTTTATTTTACAAATGAGGAAACAGTAGCTTACCCAAGTCACATAATTATGTGATAGGGAGGGGATTCAAAACAATTCTGATCCCTAAAGCCTAAGCCTTTAACCTCTAGGATTGATGGATTGGGAGGAGTGGAGTGAGAAACAGCATACACTGTAAGTTAATAAATTAGTCAGGAAGCTATTATATTATCCCAAGTGAAAAGCAATTAGGGCAATGGCAGTAGGGATGGAGAAGAAGGAACAGTTTCCAGAAATATTTAGTTTTAAAAGTTATCAAAATCACATGATTCAGCCTTAAAAAGGAATGAAATTCTGACATGGATGACATGGACCATGGATGAACCTTGAAAATATTATGCTAAGTAAAATAAGCCAGTCACAAAAGGCCAAATATTGTATGATTCCACTTATGAGGTACCTAGAATAGCCAAATTCACAGAGACAGAAAGAATACAAGTTACCAGGGACCGAAGGGAGAGGGCAAGGGGGAGTTATTGTTTAACAGGTACAGAATTTCAGTTTGGGACGATGAAAAAGTCCTGGAGGTGGACAGGGGTGATGATTGCACAACAATGTGAATGTACTTAATGCCACTGAATTGTACACCTAAAAATGGTTAAAATGGTAAATTTTATGCTACATATATTTTACCACAATTAAAAAATATTTTTTAAAAAACACACAATATGAGGAGAATAAGGGGGGAAAAGAGCCTAAAAGTAACTGTAGTGCTTAGCTGAGGAAACCAGGCGGGCAGTGGTACCATGGGTACCATGCAGTATCTCTGATGAGGAACAATGAATTATTGTGACATTGAGGTCGAGCTGTCTGGAAGGCCAACACATAAGAATGAAGCACAGAGGAGTAATAGGCTTGGAAATGTAGTCATCAACAAATAGGTGGTAATTAAAACCAGGATGATGCATGCAATTGCCCAGGGAAACATGACGTAAGAATAGAGATGGGCTGAGGATAGAACCTTAGGAAATAGCAGAGGAAGATAAAGAGGAGCTCATGAAGGAGATAACAGGATGCAGTCAAAGGTAAACAACTAAAAGATAAGGCAGCAGCAATGACAATATTTGGAGGTGGGGCAATAAGGATGATGGGGAGAGCAGGAAGGAGTTAAAAAGGAGTTAAAGAAGGTAACATTGCCATATCTATTTCTCTCCTACTCCTACTTTCTGGAATTCCAATGAAGATCTCTCTAGCATTATATGATTAGAAAACAAAATTCCTACACTGAGGAAAAACTTAACATAGTAATACGTTCTTTAAAATAGGAACACATCAAAAATTGTCAGGAACATATTTTATGAAACAGTAAGAATGTCAGACCTACACAGAAATTTAAGATCTCTACTACACAGGAAAAGAAAACAAAAAGTTTAGCTAATTGTAACTTGGTTTAAGCAATAAGAATTTCTGAATAGCTACTTACAAAATTATAAAAAAGAAAACCTATTAATAAATTTTTTGAAAATTATATCATCTTAAACTTTAGCAGATTACTAACTGAAGGTATCCTACATACAGTAAATTAATTTAAAAAATTTTATAAAGTAAATACTTTTGAATGTTTGGATTTTTGTGTTTTAGATACAGATCTATTTTAAAACTAACCAACAAGTTATAGGAAAAGTTACCCAACATATCACAAGCCCATAAAACATAACAGCACTAATCTAAAGTTTATTATGGTGCCAGAAGCTATTAAAAACTCTATATACATCATCTCTGATAATACTAAAAATTATGAGGTTGGTTTTATGCCCAGTTTACAGACTTAACTGGATTTCAGAGAGTAACATGCCATAGCTTGCTTATAAGTAGTGAATCTGGAATCAGAACGTACTGTGGCTTCAAAGCTTAAGCTATCAACCACTATCCCCTAAACAATCCTTGATTAATCTCCCTTAACCATGCTATTTCCCCACATCAGAACAAAGGACAAGCTGACATCTCATAAGTAACAGTAGAATAAGTCCTTGAATCGCCACAGTGAAAATCTGCAAAGCTCGTAGTGAGTCCAGGAGAAAAATACCTCCAAAAACTATAACTGATGAAGCACACTTATTATAAATGTACAGTTATTTTTCTCTCCAAACCAAATTTTTCATAATTGTGCGTTTAGCCTACATTTCTTCAATTTTACATATTATGTGGAAAACATTGAGAAAAAAATACCCAAAAAACATTTTAGTCTTAATACTTTACACCTAAACTAAAAACAGACTTACTAAAAGATGTTGAGCAGCCTTCATCAAACATCTGAAACACTCTCAAACAGGTCACAGCTTCTGGCGCTCATTGTCTTTGTTTCCCATCCTTCACTGTGCCCTACATCTCTCCACTTCTACCTAAGAAAATGTTAAGGGGGCACTTAACCATCCATTGCTACAGATTTGTACGGAAGCTCTAGTGGACCAATAAACCGTTGGCTAGGGACACAAACCTTTAATTATTTGTCACGTCACCAAATTGTATAAATGGAATTAGCCATAAGGCATATTCTACATTTGTAAAAAGACAACACAAGATTTTTTTTAATTTTGCCATTCAAACTTCTCTATGAATCTTTCTGCCATCACTATCAATTCCTTGGAAATTAATAATTTTCAATATGAAAAGGTAACTAGAAGCTGTTTTAAGTTTGAATTCCAAAACAAATTAAGTTACCTAGTATTTTAGCAAGCAGGGAGAAACAAAGCACCTGCTAGCAAGACAATTCCTCATGCAAGGAAAACTTTCATACAGGAGTTTAGGAGAATTAGGCAGAGTAAGAAAAAAAATACTTCAAATCTCTTCTGTTTGTTAAGTATGACAACGAATTACCTCAAAATATTCATTTAATTACTAGGATGGATTTCTGCTTTTTTTTTTTTTTTTTTTGAGGAAGATTAGCCCTGAGCTAACATCTGCTGCCAATCCTCCTTTTTTTTGCTGAGGAAGATTGGCCCTGAGCTAACATCCACGCCCATCTTCCTCTACTTTTTATATGTGGGACGCTTGCCACAGCATGGCTTGCCAAGTGGTGCCATGTCTGCACCCAGGATCTGAACCGGCAAGCCCCAGGCCACCAAAGCGGAACGTGTGAACTTAACCACTGCCCCACCGGGTTGCCCCTGAGTCTTTTAAATTTTATCTGCAGACAAAGAAAAATTCTCACAATGCAAAAGAGAGATAAAATGGATTACTTAATACAAATGCCTTTTCTTTAAAGAAATACTCTAATTAAAATTCAAAGTTTAAAAATGCAGAGCATGAATACTTTAAGAACTGATCGTTATATTAAAAACAACAATAAAGAAACAATCTTCTAAAGAAAAAACCAAAACACATGTACTTCTGGGTAACCTTACAGACTAAAAAACACTCAGGATGTCTAATCACTGGCCACTGTTTATCCCGATACCATTAAGTTGAACACACAACTACCTTCTCTGAGACAGGTAAGCTGCTGGGCTCCTCTATATTTCTTGGCTGCTTCACAGAATCACATTCAAACTTCCTATTTTTGAGAAGATGAAGCTGAACATCAGACACGTGCTGGTCCCGAGTCCCCTGAGGGCCCTTGAAGAGGGGCCCCCCATGCAGATTTTGAATCATGCTAGCTGAAACACTGACCACTGGCTCCACGTTCGAGTCTGTTTGAGAGACCTGTGGCGGAAACACAACCCCTGGAAGACCGATGTACTGAGAGCTTTCCGGCTGACTCAGCAAAGCTTCAGACGCGATTTTATGCTCATTTCCAGGAGGGACAAGTGTATCACTGGTGGCCTTTTCTAAATGTTTCCTATCCTCTGTCCCAGAATGAAGAATTGTGGGTTGCTGAAGCACAGTTTCCATTCTCTGCGCTTTTTCAGTAGTTGCTTGAAGACAACATGGGTTCAATTGTGGAACACTGGGCTGCCCAAGCTGCTGAATTACTTGCTGAACTGGATGCTGAAGAATACTTGCTCTTCCAGAAGTCTGTGTCACCATAATTGGTACATTGACTTTGTAAAGGTGACCTTAAAAAGGAGAAAACAAAACCGTAAGTATAACAGAATCCTAATTTCCTCTAAAAGAAAATCCCATGCACAACAGCCCGGGAGGAGATATATCAATATGTTAATAGTGTTTATCTCTAGGCATTTTTCTTTTATTCTTCAGATTTTTTGTATTTTCTACAATAAGTATGTATTACTCTTATTTTTTTAAAATTAAATATGTCTTGCTTTAACTCTAGCCTTTTCCCACTATTGCTTATACGGCATATTTTGAGATACATACAGGCCACCAATATTTATTCCATAAACCTCTCCCACTGTTTGATAAATAACAGTGTTACTAACTCAAATTGGGATTTTAATAAACATACAGTGGTCTCTCAGTATCTGCATTGGATTGGTTCCAGGACCTCCTGCAAATACCAAAATCCATGTATGCTCAAGTCTTATAGTTGGTCATTCTCATCCATGGGTTCCAAATCTCATGGAGAATGTATTTCATACATTTAAGATATAAGATACCATATAACAACTAAAAGACAAGGCTATCCAAAAGGAGTTTAATAATTTCAGAAGTAATCAAATTTTTTCTCCTTCTTTTCTTTAAAATAATACTAAAAAGAAGAAAGAAGAAATTTATTTTTTGAGGATTAGTTAGGTGCTTTGCTTAAACTTTGCAACAACCCAAAGAATAGGTATGATTCTCTTTCAGACCAAGAAACAGTGCTGTGAAAAGCAGAGGCTGGTTAATCTCCAAACGTTTTGGATATTCTTTCTATTATACCATGCAATCTCTAATAAGAAAGGCAGCAGAGGTTGATCAATCCATGGTTTTTCTTGATTAGAGCTGGCAGGGACACAGATACGTTATTTTGTATTTGTCAAACTTTAGCTAACTGCATTGAATTAGAGAAAACATACATAAAAGCATCTTGTACAAAGAGAACTGGGAGTGAAATAAGGACAGGCCTAGGACCGAGCGTTTCGTGGCAGACCGCCTCCACAATACGACTCACCGTTTATTATTACTTTTGAAATTAGTTTGATTAACAGTTCCTCTAACTTCTAGTATACAGTTTATTAAAAATCATGAAAATTAATCCAAAAGTCAGTACCAATGCTAAAAACAAAATTTCTTTTCTGCTTTTTTCTCCCCAAATCCCCCCAGTATATAGTTGCATATTTTAGTTGTGGGTCCTTCTAGTTGTGAAAACAAAATATTTTTAAACGATACTCTTACCAGATGCAGTCTGCAGTGTCACACCTGCTGGTACATGAATAGGATAACCAGAAAAAGTAAGGTTTGCCCTGGAGTTTGAGGTGCCCTAGACATGAGAAATTTATATTAGAAAGTTAGAAAAATGGCTTTACTTGTATCTTTTTTTCCTGATCTTGTAGAGGGTCAAAAAGTCTGATTCAGGACAACAATCGTTTGACAATGCTTTACATTAGGGCTGAGTTCTTTAATAAAACAGCTTTGTAATACTTGATTTAGATTATCTCATTAAGGATAAAAGGCATTCTGTTCTACAGCTATTGGCAATGAAGCTAATAAGCCTTTTACGGATACTGACTCATAAAACTTGCCCACTACACAGCTTTGCCTGAGCCACTGATGCTCAAGATGTCAAACAGAAGAACCACAGCTGTCTACAAGAGTCCTCTAGTCTATAAGTTGATCACTAATGGCATTTCAAAGTAGATAATATGATAGTGTCTAATTTTTATTTTAGAATAATTAAACCTTAGCATTTTAATTTTTTTAAGTAGTAAATCAAAAGACAAAGAAACGTTTTTGCCTATCAGACCTGCAAATTTAAAAGATTAGATTAGTAACATCCAATGTTGGTAAGGATATGATAAAAATCAGTTCTCTCAGATTCTGCTTATATGAGGGTATACGGGACAATCCTTTTGGAGGGCAATTTTGCAATATATACCAAAACTGAAAACATGCATGATCTTTGACCCAGAAATTCTACTTCTAGGAATTTATCCTGGTTACCTGATTTTCACACAAATACATAAGGACACAACTACAAGCATAATCAATAGAATGCTATATTAAAAAATAACCAAAAGTAATTTAAACATCCATCAACAAAAGATTGGTTATTTTAAACTGTGATATATCCACAAAGGCTAATCAATATTTAACCAGCACTAAAAAGTGTCCATCCATATTACTAAGTTAAAAAAAATTCCAAAATAGTACACGGAATGATCCTACTTTTATGCTGAAATTAATATAACTTTCATGAAAAAAGTCTAGAAGGATATCATCAAACAACTAAAACAGTCATCTTTGGGGTAGAATACTACAGGGCTCTTTCACTTTTTACTTTATAAATTTGTTTTCACTTTTTAGAAATATATTATTTCCTTAATCAAGGGAAAAGGCATCTCCACTAAAGTGAATTACACTTCTGCCATCACTCACTAAAAGTGGGTCATATCTTTTAAAATATATCTTAGGGGCTGCCCTGGCAGTGCAGCGGTTAAGTGCGCACGTTCCGCTTTGGCGGCCCAGCGTTCGCCGCTTCAGATCCCAGGTGCAGACATGGCACCACTTGGCAAGCCATGCTGTGGTAAGCATCCCACATATAAAGTAGAGGAAGATGGGCACGGATGTTAGCTCAGGGCCAGGCTTCCTCAGCAAAAAGAGGAGGATTGGTGGTAGATGTTAGCTCAGGGCTAATCTTCCTAAAATATATATATATCTCTCTCTCTTAAATAAGCTACATACCAGTTCTGCTGTAGTAAACTTGGGAAGAGTTCTACCAGCAGGAATAACTAATGATGCTGCATAGAAAACAAAATAAACATTGTAAATTCATTAGAATTTACCAATTTAATAAAATTTCTAAGTATAGCTTATTTTTAAAAAAACATTTTCCATCACTAATTTGTTAGGCCATAATGAATTCTAAACTTCCTGATTCTAAGAGAGGTAAAAAGTATTACTTTTTTCCCAAGAACTTTAGATAAAGACTTTACAACTAACCTACTTTAAGTCCCAAAAGGAAATCTCTCATCTAATCAAGTATACTGTACTTTAGAAATCCATAAGAAAATACTTTAGTCTTTAGTAATACAAAATGTCTTTAGTAAGCAATGTAGCACTTAATCTCCATTACAACTTTTCAAAAGAGAGAAAAAGTAATATTTGTTAAAGTGGCACTTTTCCAAGAGACTATACTATCGAGCAAAAATATGTAACCCCACAAAAACCATTTGAAATTTTATAGGTTCAAAATAAATTTCAATTCATTCATTTTATGAAAAGTTATTTACAGTACTTCAGCCAAGTAAGCAAGCACAGCTACATAGTTTTAGGAATAAATGCATAAGAACATGTCTCCTGAAGTCTTTGCATGAAACAGTTTAGACTGCTAAGAAAAATACAAGAGAACAAATTCCTAGGAAAACACCAACTCAACCTGCATTAAAGCTGCAATCTCACATATCTTTCCTTTATTATCCATCAATTTGCTATGCTATCTCTTCATTTATAAAACATCTAAAAGGTTGACCAAATGGTTGAACATATAATCATTAAAAAATAAGACTAAAAAATAAAGAAATAGTAACTCCACTAGAAGGATCTCAGTTGATCAATGTAAACTTAAACCTCACCTCAAGGCTCACTTTACCTAGCTGAATATGACCGTTAGAATATCACTTCGTGCTACAACTAGAAGGACCCTCCACTAAAATATAAAACTATGCACTGGGGGATTGGGGGAGAAAAAGCAGGAAAAAAAAAAAAAAGAAGATTGGCAACAGTTGTTAGCTCAGGTGTCAATCTTAAAAAAAAAAAAGAATATCACTTTGCTTTTTCTTTAATAAAAATGAGAGTCTTTTAGCATGTTTATGCAATACATATGTATTAAATGTAATTTATTTATTATGGCCTTTTTTCACATACTGCCTTAAGGAAAACTGCCTCAAAGATCTGTTTCTGACGGGGCTGGCCCCGTGGCCGAGTGGTTGGGTTCGCGCGCTCCGCTGCAGGCAGCCCAGTGTTTCGTTGGTTCGAATCCTGGGCGCGGACATGGCACTGCTCATCGGGCCACGCTGAGGCGGCGTCCCACGTACCACAGCTAGAGGAACCCACAACAGGAAATATACAACTATGTACTGGGGGGCTTTGGGGAGAAAAAAGGAGGAAATAAAAAATCTTTAAGAAAAAAAAAAAAATCTGTTTCTGACGCTAGAATGGCTCCATCATATACAACAAACAGCTCAGAAGGGCAAATATTTTTTAAAATAACCATTCTTTCCACGTTTAGACAACAGAAGTGAGGCTACAGAGATTGATGGTTAATGAAGCACAAAATTATTTTTATCCTCTGTTCATCTATGCCTTTGCTTATTAACAGGCATTCTTTTAGAAAGGCTAAATTAGAAAGAATTGGAGTGGCAGGAACACAGTGGCATTAGACTTAATTAGCTGAAGTGAGCAAAGCTTAAGCTGGTACAACTTAAGCCATAGCCTGGGAGGAAACAAAAATCTGTTAACACACTGAAGCAATTAAATGAATTTCTTGAGGAAAAACAGCAACAATCTTCCTCTTTTAATTACCTTGCAATAAATCCTAAAGGCTAATTCTCTATACTTATATAAATCAAAGAGAACTATACGAGAATTTTAAGAGTTTCTTTACAGCCATCAGAATAAAAGCATTGAACTAAGAGTTTATAGCGAAGTTTCATGCAGCTCCTATTTAATTTTGATACTAAACTCACAAGTTATATGCACCATTTATATACATTCACAAATTATATACACCATTATATGTGTGTGAAACACACTTTTTAAAATATTCAAGCTGGTTTCAATAACCAATTAAGTTTTAACTGAATACATGTTTTTATTTAAACTCAAAGTGCCAGAATTTTGGTCTTCATGTATATATTCTAGAAATATTAAATTTCTCAAACAATAGGCTTTAGAATATAGAAAGAATTCAGTTCCACAAATATAATTTAAGAAATTTAGTAAAAATAATACAGCATAACAACATTCACATTTATAAGTGTATTCTTCCCTACACACCAAAAAAGTCTTTGAAACATTAAAGCAGTTAATTTCACAATCCTTGGTCCTGTTTTGAACCATTCCAAATCTTAATATCGAAGTCACATGACTCAAGAGGTGCAAAGACTGGTCAATTTCTTCTTTGTAACTACTTATTAGCATAGGGATATCTTCTCATGACCAAACTGAATATTCTAACTCAAAAACCAATAGTATTGCTGCAATTTTCACCAGATCTAAGTTCAAGAGCAAATGAACATATAGTTTAGGAGTTTTAACGCTCAATGATGAAAGCCACCACAAACCTCTCGATGTTCCTGTTCTTTCCTGTCTTCCTCCCACAATGACTGAAGGTTTAAACAAAAAAGGCCATGTGACATGAAGAACAAATAGCTGAAGCTTATGTGAATTGCCCTAGAAATAAGGCAATCACAAACAAGGTGACTACACGTCCCAGTCTGCCCACATCCCAGTTTACACCTGTTATTCTGAGGCTATTATAAATAGAATCCCATTTCTCTCTCAAAAGTGGAGTATAGGCAAAAGACTCAGAATATAATACTATACTCAATGAGAAAAATAAAGTTGGAGGACTGACAATACCCAACTTCAAGGCTCACTATAAAGCTGCAGTAATCAAGACAGTGTAGCATCAGCAAAAGAAAAGACAAATAGATCAATGGAATAGAACAGAGGGCCCAGAAATAGACACACATAAATTCAGTCAACTGATTTTTGACAAAGGAGCAAAGGCAATACAATGGAGCAAAGATGGTGTTTTCAATAGTGTTGGAGCAACTGGACATCCACAAGCAAAAAAAATGAATCTAGACACAGATCTTATACCCTTCACAAAAATTAACTCAAAATGGAGTATAGACCTAAATGTAAAATGCAAAACTATAAAACTCCCAGAAGATAACATAGGAGAAAATCTAGATGACGTTGAGTATGGCAATGACTTTTCAGATACAACACCAAAGGCACAATCCATGAAAAAAATAACTGATAAGCTAGACTTTATAAAAATTAAAAACTGCTTTGCAAAAGACAATGTCAGGAGAATAAGAAGACAAGACACAAGTTGGGAGAAAATATTTGCAAAAGACATATCTGATAAGGGACTGTTATCCAAAATACACAAAGAACTCTTAAAACTCAACATTAAGAAAACAAACAAAACTCGATTGAAAAATGGGCCAAGATCTTAATAGACACCAAAGAACATATCCAGATAGCAAATAAACATATGAAAAGATGCTCCACATCATATGTCATCAGGGAAATGCAAATTAAAACAACAATGAGATACTAATACAACCTATTAGAATGGTCAAAATTCAGAACACTGACACCACCAACTGCTGGCAAGGATGGAGAGTAAGAGGAACTCTCATTCATTGCTGATAAGAACGTAAAACGGTACAGCCACTTTGGAAGACATTTTGGTGGTTTCTTACAAAACTAAACATCCTCTTACCAGATGATCCAGCAGAATCCTTAGTATTTATCCAAAGAAGCTAAAAACTTATGTCTACAAAAACACCTGCACAAAGATGTTTATAGCAAGCTTATGCATAATTGCCAAAACTTGGCAGCAACCAAGATGTCCTTCAGTAGGTGAATGGATAAATAAACTGTGGCACATCCAGACAACAGCATATTATTCAGTGCTGAAAAGAAATGCGCTATCAAGCCATGAAGAAAAATAAAGAAACCTTAAAATTACTAAGTGAAAGAAGCCAATCTGAAAAGGCCACGTACTGTATGATTCCCACTATATGACATTCTGGAAAAAGCAAAGCTATGGAGATGGTAAAAAGATCAGTAGTTGCCACGGGTTGGTGTAGGGGAAGGGATGAAGAGGTGGAGCACAGATTTTTTTGACCAATAAAAATATTCAGTATGATACTATAATGATGGACATGTCATTATAAATTTGCCCAAACCCAGAGGATATACACCACCAAGAGTGACAATGTAAACTATGGACTTTGGGTGTTTATGATGGTGTTAATGTAGGTTTATCAATTGTAACAAATGTGCCACTCGAGGGGAATGTTGCTAATGGAAGAGGCTATGCATGAGTGAGGGTGAAGGGTATACGGGAAATCTCTGTCCCTCCTCTCAAATTTGTTATGAACCTAAAATTGCTCTAAAAAAATTATTTTTTATAATTAAAAAGTTATTTAAAAGCATATTATAATTACATATACTCACCCTAACAATAGAACAGTAGTTCTCAAAGTATAGTGTGTGAAACCCCGGGGGCTCCCCAAGACCCTTTCAGGGTGCTCACGAGGTCAAACTATGTTTTACAATACCAAGACAACACATGCCTTTTTCATTTCTCACTAAATATTTTTTGTTCTGTTTTGTTGACATCTGCTCTGATGGCACAAGGCAATGATGAGTAAAACTGAAGGCACCTCAGCTTGAATTAAGGCAGCAGCAAATCTCACTAGTGACCAATGGATTTATTTTCCATTGCCACTCACTCACAGTAAAAAACAAAAAAAGAAACCAGCAGCAACAACAAACTGTTTCACTTAAGACGTTCCTTAATGTAACCATATAAATTATTTTTACTAATTTCAACCCTAAAGTGTATTTCCTTTTAATATTCTGTGTGATGAAATGGGGAGAACAGAAAGAGCATTTCTGTTCATAGACAAGTACAAGGAAAAACACTGGTGCTATTGTTTAAGTTGGGAGCTGATCTAGCCTCTTTTTTCCAGAAACACTATTTTTACTTGAAAGAAAAACTGACAGAAACTATGGTTATTCAGACATGAGTATTTGGCAGACATTTTTTTTGAAAATGAACTAAGTGTGTCCATCACTTCAAGGAAAACAAATTGACAGTATTTGTTTGGCAATGATAAAATTCAAGCTCTCAAGCAAAAATTAGAATTTTGCAAACTTTATATCCACCACAGTGAGTTTGATAGCTTCGCAATACTTAAACACTTTTCTGATGTGTGGTGATATTTATGATTATGATTTGTTTAATCTTGCATAATGAGCAATGTGTCAACTCCACAACTCAGTGAACCAATATTTTCCAAATAACCATCTAACATTATAAAAAGTCCATTATATGGTTTCAGATTCCACTCTGCATCTAACCTCTCAGATACTGCTACTTGTTGAGTTTTAACGTAATACCAAGTTATCTGAAAATACTATTAAAATACTCCTCCTTTCCCAATCATATATCTGTGGGAGGCAGGATTTTCTTCATATACTTTAGCCACAACAACATATCACAACAGATTGAATTTAGAAATAGATGAGAATCTATCTGTCTTGTATTAAGCCAGATATTAACAAGATTTGCAGAAAAGTAAAACAGTGCCATTCTTCTAAGTATTGTTTGTCCTGGAAAATACTTACTGTTAACAAATATAGTTATTATGTTAACATATGATAAACTTTTTAAATTAATAAACCAATATTTTTTGGATTTCTCAGTTTTAATTTCTAATACAGTAAATACTTACAACCCACATAAAAGAAAGCTCTTTGAGGTCCTCAATTTTTAAGTGTGAAGAGGTCCTGAGACCAAAAACAGTTGACAATTGAAGATATAGGAAATTACTAAATAAATGGATGATACAGTCAAAAAAAATATGATAGGGCAAACAAGTTCTAAAGGTGGAACAAAGGTAAATACTTATTCCATTGTAGATTAATTTGAACTTGTTATCAAGAGATAAAAAGGTTGTGGAGGTAAGTTAGTTTAGGTTATTTTAATCAGGCTTTTAAAAGCATACAATGCAAAGACATAATTAAGAAGTACTTCCAATTTATAAGGCTATTTACTCCAAGAATCTTATTGTAGGGTACCTAGAAATGAAGAAGGATAGGAATAAGGCCTATAATGCATTTTTAAAAGATATATGTACTTCCTCTTAAACCATTTCATTATAAATGATATAGAATAAGGAGAAAAACTGTCTTTAAATGTAATTATTTCTGTTATTCTAAGAAAGAGAATAATAAAATGCTGAGTGAAATCCAGCTAGTTACATTTGTTGCAAGACTATTTTGTGATTTAAATCACTGGTAATATTACCATCTTGCGGCAAAATCTAGTATTGCAATTTTGAATGACAAAGAACCTGAGAAATGGTAACTAGGCTTTTGATTAAAGACTGTCAAGTAGTTTACTCCTCCACACTGGCCACACTCCAAGCCACTCCTAAGTAAAACATCTTTAAAGTTCTTTAATAGAGATAAAGAAAAAAAATTCAAAAGAATGTTATTTAAATAGAGAAATAAAAGGATGCCCTAATAAAATAGTGAAGTAATAAAATAGTAATAAATGTAAAGTAATAAAATAGCAAAAACAAAAGCATAGCCAAAAACCCCACAACTGATGGAAAATGTTTCAATGTGTCAACTTAGTAATTAAAACTGCCACGGCTAATCCTTATAGAGCAAAGTTATACTTTATAAGCACAGTATTAGATAAAAGTTTTGTTTGGTAATTCAATATTCATTGTTAATTTATTTCATTTTTATAAGTCGTTATTGCTGCCACACTTAAATTCTCTCATTCTGTAACAGACGAGGTATTAGCCTCCTTACTATTTTCTCTTCATCTTGGCTAATGTGATTTTCATGTGAATTTTCCCAAGTATGCAATGAACAACCTAGTTATTACTGACAATCTAATCCAAAACCTACCCTCACCTCTTGCAGACATTAATCTATTGAATTGCAGCTAAACCCAATGAAACCTGTTTGTGTGTGTGTCTGTGTATGGACATATATATAGACAAACATTAGGGTAGCATAAAGATTATGAGTCAGAGGAGAAAAGAAAGAATAAAGGCTAGAAAGATATAACAGTATCATTTTATTTTTTATTAGCTAGTCTTTTCCACTTTAAATTGATACATATAATATGGACAAATATTTCCCTTAAAAGCAGAGGTCTAGATTCATTAAGTACAAGAATAAAGGTAAGATGTATATGGTCAATTTATAGTCATCATTGTATATATCCAAAACAATGAGGTAGCCTGAATATTCTCCATATTCTTGTTAACTCTCCATTTTGCTTCCAATAGAATAACAGATCTATAATATTTACAGAAAGCAAAAGAGAGAAAGAATGCACAAGTATGCAAGCACCCATCCGTCCCTCTGCTTCTTCAGCAATGGTGGCTGGATTATTCCTCGACTAGATCCAATCAAATGCTCTGAAATAACCAGTGGGTGCTCCCAATAGCCCATAAACTACGTGACTTACTCCTCTAAAGTAAGGCTTTGTCACCTTTGTGGACTTTAATATTTTAAAGCACTAGTTTGAGTAATCTAACTTTTCCTCAATAATTACATGGGGTGATGATTTATTGTGTTCATTAAGTAGCAATGATTCTGAGGTCCAAGCCCTCTCACCTTAAGAATATTACCCTGTCTAATTCAAAACCACCACCAAATGAGAATTAGTTCTGAAGTCCAAATAGTACTAATTTACTGACTGTATCCAACCTGTTGGTGACTGCAATGTTTGGTGCAAGCTGTGTGGCAACTGAAGAGTGAACAGAGGTGAATGGAGGCTATTTCTGAAGAAGTCTTCTGTTGCTTTAGACTGCAAAACCTTTGTTTCCCAGAGCTGCAGAGAAAAAAAAATTGTTTACTTTTAAAAAAATAATAAAACTTTTATAGGATTCTTTTTTTACATTTTTTAAATTAAATTGTCAGCTGATGGCACAATGAATAGGCAAGTACTAAACTACAATTAAGGAGTTGGAACTATAATTTACCAGTTTTTTAAGCTAAGAAAACTACAACAAAAAGAGAGAGAAACCTGTCTTGTCTACAAACCTGCTTCAAGTCTTTTAAGACTTGTTCCTCTACACCTTCTTCAGCAAATAGATGCCGCGCTCCTTCAATTACATCTTCAATTACAGATCTGTAGAGTTTAGGCTACACAAAAGCAATTGTTAAAGTTTTAAATTCTCAAGTTTGAACGTATCCAGCCTTAAGAGGCATGCAAAGCACACATTCTAATCTTACAGTTTAAAGAAAAACCACCATAAGGATTTTTACTAAGCACATCCCACTTCCAGTAGCTTCCTATAAATTGTGTTACAAGTACAGGACTACAATAAAATATAAGATAATAATCTCATCAAGATGCATGGTTACTGTTACGTTACTTGGCTTTTGTGTCAGTATTTAACCTCCCCACTTCTTATAAAAAGGGAAATTAAATTTAAGGCAGGTGGAAATGAACCTTCTGTTTTCAATTTACCTTCTTCTCAAAGAGGCCAAAGGAGCTTTTTTAGAGCTCACTATGTTATTTCCCCAAATGTAAGGAAAGTCCAAGCCATAAGATTGTGGCAAGCACTTACAATAGAGTTACCAAAGCCCATCCCATTTCCAAAATACACACAGTTCAAAAAAAAACTCTGAACCATTGTCAAGTAAAAGTACAACTGCACCAAAATAGATTTCCTAACAGAAACTAAGAAGGATATGAACGAACCTTACCTTTCCACAATCTGCATGTTGCAGAGACTAAGTAACATCCTAAAATGCTTCCTAGTAAAAACATGCCATGACAATCATATTAAGCAGGTTTCTACCCAGATTGAACACTGGTAAATACCAATAGAAAAATAGCCCTGTGAAATAAACTCAGTCCTTCAAAGCTATGTAAATTGTGCTCCACTCCCACCCCAGTCCAAAAGGGCAGTGCTAAATGTACTAACAATACTGACCTAGTGGAAGTTCCACTGACAAGAAATGGCAAAACAGGAATTTAGCTGAGTTGCTCTTATTTCAAATTGCTTAGTCAGGCCAAAATGAAAATTGCGGCAGTCTAGGACCGCTTTTTCATACTACCCAGTAAATACTCTAAATACTCCTCCTGCTCATGCCAAGAGTAGCAAGGTTTTAAACTAATCCTTCTAAAGATCAAGGGTAAGCTGATGAATAGGCCAATCAGTAATATTTAAATAATACGTTACTCACAAGCATATCCATTAAGATTAAGTACCCTAGATTAGTTGCTTCTTCTAAAACAGTTTACACTAATAAAGGCACACTCAATTGATGCTTCAGTGTTAGTCCCAGCTAGTGTAATCACATTTAAAGCTGGAGGAAAAACTCCTAGGGCTAAAAACATCTTTAAGTTATGCCCTCAGAGTGTAACAGCAGCCACCAAAAATAACCCATTAGAACACAATTTTTCAAAAGTAAAGTAGATATTAAACATATTTTCTCTTCTAGGACTAGAGTTAGACTTTATATTCTTTCTCTGTTATCTTTATTAAAACTATGCATAGCCAAGAACTCCATCTTAACCTCTTCTCTATTTAAAAGAAAACACACACACTCTCCTTGGAGTTCACCATCAGATGAAATGGTATATGTACATGGCAAGCTTATATTCAAGCACAAGTATTTTACATATCTCAAAACACATTATCAGAAAATAGATGCACATTAAATAAGAACATGTCTCTAAAAATGGACCCTTTAATGCTGCAGATGTATACATGGAACCCATAAAATAACACAGATCTGGACAACCACGTTGTCTTTCACCAAGTATGAAGTCTGTCGAGATGAAATGAAAATCAAGGTTAACCCTCGATTTTCTCTTGTTCTTTATTTCAGGTTTTTAAGACTGACAGAGGTTCTCATAAGTACTGTTTAGACCGTCAATTCTCATCATGAGGTTTAGGTACCCCTTAACTGTAACAGACGGGTGTTTGTGTTCTTCAATTCCAATTGTACCCTTAAGCATTAAGATGCTACAGGTTGGGGAAAGGATGGAGGGGGTGGGGGCTCTAAAAATATGTAGTGGGGTAACATAACACATTTTCTATTATTTCAGGTAAATAATATAGCTTTGAATCAACAATGACCATACTAAAATTAAGAATTATAATTAGCGTACAACTGAACTCAGAAAATTTTCTAAACACATAAGAAACTGGGAGGATCACGGCAAGTTCCCACTCTAAACAGCTCATTCTGTAAAACCAGTTTGGGTGAGAACTGAGGAGGAGAAGAGGAGGGACACTTGTTCTTCCGGTGGGGGCAGGCCCAACTTCCGGCTGGGCTACTGGCCCTCATGGCTTCCTCCAACCCGGGGAAGCAGCGTCGGAGCCCCTAGGGAAGAGGGTTTCTGACAGTCTGTGAAGGGCCAGGAGAGAAGAAAGGGTGTGTGGACCAGAACCCGGCGCCAGCGCTCCCTCTACAGAGAGCACAGGCCGACAGGCCGGGCGGTTCCTCCTTACCACTGGGTTGATGCAGGCCATGACGGCAGGTCCACTGCCTCGCCCCTCACGCCTGCGCAGCAAGAGGTGCTCCGCTGAGGACCGCTCCCCTGGCGTTGACCCTCGGTGCACGTTGCCGCGCAACTACGCAAGGACGCTGGGGGCGGGGCCCGAGGGGAGAGAGAGGTTGATGAACTGAGCGGGGTTAACTGGAGACACCCCAGAGAGGCAGGGAAGAGGTTGGTCTGAGTGAGCCAAGGCCAGCTGAAATGGGATGGTTAAATCCCATCCACCCAGCTTTGGGCCGTTCACATGATCCCTGAAGAGCCTTTATTTTCTCAATTTGCGAAATAAAGACTAAGAAAATAGGGGCAGGGCGATGCAGTAGTAGACCCCAGTTCACCTTCAGCTTTGAAGAGGTCGGGCCGGGAAAGAGGGGAGACTGGTGGTATCTGTCCTCTTCTTCTACCAATTTTCATTCCCACTACCACGTCCGTCTCTGCAGCTGAACTCCAATAAAAGTATAACAAGAGCCAAACTCTTCTAAGATTGGTTCTCAAAGTCTGGGATAGCAACATCAGCCTCATTTGGGAACCTGTTAAACTTGCCAATTATTGGGTCCCACCCCGGACCTCCTGAATCAGAAACTCTGAGAATGGGGCCCAGCATTCTGTAATTTTAACATGCTCTCCAGGTGATTCTGATGAAAGCTTAAATGAGGCTCACTGTCCCAAGACAAAGATTCTCAGCATTGGTTGCACATAGAAATCACCTGCCGAGCTTAACAAAGGTTTGGCACCTGAGTCTCACCCCAGAGACTCTGATTCTATTATGCAGCCAAGGTGGAGAATCACCACTAAAATAAAGTCACCACCCCAACACCACCCCTTCTTCTTCCCCTCCTCAGGCAGAAATCACTATCTGTTGGTTTGCAATAATTCTCTCCCTCCCCTGAAGGGTAGAGCATCTAGGAGCATCACTCGCCTTGGGCCGAGGGTGGATGTAAGCACAGGTAACCTGGAGGGCTAGAAAAAGGAAGAAGTCATCTATTGCCACTACTCTCCCTTTTAAACAGGCTTTCTAGCCTGCAGACAGGCCCTGACCTAACCAGATGGCTCTTATTTAATGATTAAAAATCCTATTATGTTTCAAATTGGCTGTTTATTTATTTATTTGTGTATATAAGTTCGGTAGAGCTATTTATGGCCTGCCACCATGTATTTGCTTTGCCTGGGTCAGGTACCTTTTGGTTTGTGAGTTTCAAGCACCTGATTTATATGAAGGCCTTTAGAGGACTTTCCTACATTGAAAACTATCTGAAATTTCCTTTACAAAAAGCCAAGAATTTTATATAGTAATTTTTAATGATTGTATCTCTACCTGGCAATTTTCTACCAGAAGTATTCAAAATGACTTATCTTTCACCTAAAATAGAAAAGCTAAAAGCAGTCATTGATTCCCACTGATATTATAAAATCCAATTAAATTATTCAAGCTGGGAAATAAGAAAGCTGAAAGATCTCTTGTTTTCTATCTTTTTCATGGCTAAGTTTTAAAACTTTATTCTTAAGTGCATAGGACTGATAATCACTTAACTTTTTGCAACACTTTACTGTTTTATATTACTTCATTGTATATTTTACCCTTCTCGGGGCTATACTGTAGATCGTGCATATTTTTGAAATTAAATTTGGACCTTGGTTCCCATAAAAAGCATGATTTAGAGTTGAACTGCCATTGCTCAGTATGTTTAGGAGACTCAGGTTACAAAGAGGTTATGTAATCTTGGCAGAGAAATGTCAGCAACTTTCCACTTGCCCCTTGTGATCTGTCTGGATGATCACTAGTAAACTCAGCCATAATAACTTCCCAATAATAGACAATGGCTCTTAGAGGAGGTGTGCTTTAACCCATGTTCTGGGTGAATCCAAGTTGCAAATCTGCTCTAGACCTGTGGTAGCCAGCTTCCAAGAGGGCCCCCAATGATTCCCACCTCCTGGTATTCACAACCTTGTATTGTTCCCTCCCGCATTGTACAATAGTTTGTTTGGGTGACCAATAGAATAAAAGAGAAGTGAGAGTGTATCACTTCCATGATTAGATTATGAATGACTGTGGCTTCCTTCTTGGGCTGTCTCTTTCTCAGATCGCTGACTTTGGGACAAGACAGCTGTCACATTGTAAAGACATTCAGGCACTCAGGTAGCCTATAGAGAGGCCCATGTGGCAAGGAACTGAGACTCCAGCTCATAGCCAGCAAGAATTAGAAGCCTGTAGACAATCACACGAGTAAGCTTGGAAATTGATCCTTCCCCATTTGAGCTGTCAGATTATTGCAGCCCTGACTGACACCTTGACTACATTCCTTTGAGCGACCTTTAACCAGAACCACCCTCTCGGCATCTCCCAGATTCCAAAGCCTCAGAAACAGTGTGTGGTAATAAATATTTGTTGTTTCAAGCAGTTGAGTTTTGGGGTAACATATTACATAGCGTGAGATAACTAATACAGGGCCCATTCTCTGATTGGACTGTGAGTAATGGAAGCTTGGTTTTCCCTCATTGTAATCTCAGCATTTAAAGTTTCTTGAATAGCCTCATCAGTCACAAGAGCATTTGAAAAGTATGTAAGGGAATCTTCATACACGTATTTGATAGCATTGACCCCAGGTTATCATCAAACAAGCAGACTGTTATAGTCATGTAATGGTCACATTTCTTTTGTCAATTTTTCAGACTCAGAGGGGAAGTGTGTTGCATACACAAAGCACTTTTGATGCTGAAATTGAAATTCCAAGATCCCAAAGCCTTAGTGAGGCAATTTTATAGTGTCTATTTTTTATGTTAGTAAATAAAGAATAAAACAGGAATGCTGATCTTTGGTCCTTCTTTGAGTACACAGTTCTTTGAAATTACACCTGTGACAAAACATAAAGCTCTTCCCCAACTGCCCATTGCAGTTCAGAGCATCAGATTTTCATTTTCTCCTGCTTTGTTTAGAGACTGTCATATACATTTAATATATCATTGGTAATCAGCACCAGTTTTGCAACATTTAAACAAATCTTAATACAGTCATGCCTCTCTTAATGATGGGGATACGTTCTGAGAAATGCATCATTAGGTGATTTCGTTGTGCAAACATCATAGTGTGTACTTACACAACCCTAGATGGTATAGCCTATTACACACCTAGGCTGTATGGTAATAATCTTATGGGACCATCATCATAAATGCTATCCATCGTTGACCAACAACATTGTTATGCGGCACATCAGTGTAATCAGATTAATTTCTTTGCACTCTGTGTGTTCTCATTACTTTTGCCTGGAGGTTTCAGTGATAGTATTACAAAAGTGAAAAACAATTTCACTTTGCTTATTGTGAGAAAAGTCCATATCTATGAAGTTCTTTCTCTGAATATGAATGTAAAAAGAAATGTGTTTTAGAAACAGCCCATTATCTTTTACATATTATTTTACAGTCAAATAGAGGGCATTTCAGTAACTGTATAGACTCTAAATAATATATTTGTCAGTAATAAAAAAATACAAGTTAGTCTATAAGCGTATGTCTTAAGGCAGCAAATATTTATAATTAGTTTCTGAACATCTTACAACCAACATACTAAACCCAGCAGTATTGTTTCTCTGCCTCTGTTTCATCCTTCACATCTTCCAGGAAATGAAAATCCAGATAATCTCTGTCGCACCTTGTAACTTTGAAATGGCTACAGTCTTAGTAGTTCTGATTTATTTATACTCTGCAGTTTTGTAGCATTTTCCATTTTCTAATACAACTCCAAAATTAACTGACATTATTTGAACATCAGATACTGTTCCACCATGATGAATCCTTCCCCCTCAACTCAACAGATTTCAGTTCAGATGACCATAGGACACAATGCTATGGCCAACTGGTGACCTTATCACACAGTGGAACACTGTTAATGATCACATTACTGCCTGTTTCAAAGCATTTTAATATCGAAGAGATGTGTATATAGTGTACATATGAAAATTAGTAGTTATAATTATCTCACAGAAGGTATGGAGGCTGACTTGAAACGCAATTTTGCCCATGGCTACTTTTTCAACATTCTCATCAGGGTCTTGATAAAGATTCAGTAATTTCCTAGTTAACAAATGACTCCATTTTCATTTTTTTAATCACAGTGTGTATAATCATACATGAACATGAAATATTAGCAAAGATAATGTCCATTGTCTCCAGTTAATTTTCCAATCTAAATTTCTACTTAGAGAAGATGGAGGTAAAGACCAATAAACTGAATTTAAGGCTATGACCTGGAGAACCAGTTTTGTTCCCACAATAACTGTACTTTTCTTCTTTCCTAACTTGTCATTTTATAAGAGGTAAATGGCAGCATCTTGAATATTCTATATTGTTACCTTAGGTGCTTCAAATATCAGGAGAGACAGGAACAATATGGAGTAGACATACTTCTTCCTATTCCTTCCACTAAGTACAGCTGAAAACTCTGCATATTATATATAAAACAAACATAAGAAGGCTCCAAAAGGTGGAAAGAAGAACACAGACCAGCTAGAAACCTTATAACCCAAAGAATGACACAGCAGTGAATTCCCTGGTTTTGTTTTTGCTTCACGTATACCAGACTGGGTGCTGGTGAAGCTGGCAATCCAGAAACACCAATGGTCACAGACAAAAAAGAACAAAAGCCTTCTCTCTCTAGCCAAAGGACCAGAAAAGGGGCAGCAAGACAGAAAACTTTTAGATGATAACAGCTTTACTCCCATCAAACATCACAGAAAAAACTGGCCCCGCCCCACCCCTGTCAGCAAAACCACGGTAAGGAGTTTCGACTTCCACTCTTGCCCAGCTATAATGAGATGGAGCCATCTGTTTGAAGGCATCGGAGACCACATGGGGTGCCTGGACTTGTACTCCCATCCAGCTGTAATGAGGCATCGCTATGACCCACTAGATGGTGTCAGAGAAGGTCAAGTGGGAAGCCAACTCTTTCATTCCTGTCTGCTGATAGGGAGACCTCCCCCTTGTGGTGTCAATGGAGGTCACATGAGGAGGAGTAACAATGTACTCT